TTATTCGTGCAACATCCTCAACATCAACTGTCGTTGTGCCTTCCAATGCATTTCCTAATGCCTCTCGTAAACTCTTTACGAATATTCTTGACATATTACGAAACCTTCTCTGTACAAAAGGTGATTCTTGTCTCTTCCCATATGAGACGTCTACTTTTTCGTTCCTGATTTTATCCCAAAAATCAAAGTAACGTCACTATCCCGTATGTCTCACGTTTTCCCTCCAAGCTTAAATCCCTTTGCATAAAAGTCATAAGATTTGATCACATCCATGACATTATCGTCAACTTTCTTGAACTTCTTTAACACCGCATCTTCTTTCTTCCAAAAAGATTTAAACAACATCCCAAAAGGTGTTCTTTCGAGGGCAGTAATGTGTCTTTCAGTGAACCATGTGTCTCGCATTAGGTTTATCAATGAAACAACATTTGACCTATATTGTTTCACATAGTTCTCCCTCTCCCATACTCCATGTACAATATTCAACTTTGAAGGTTTTGTTGTTGAAGGCAGTGGATTGCTTTCATTAGAGCCTTCATGTAACGCCCTCAAAATAAACCCATAATATCATACAATCACGATAAAGAAAAGAGATTTCATATCACAATCATCAGAATATTTTTACAAAAGGTATTACATGTTGACAACAAAAGTAAATGCCCTAAAGGCTTACAACTTTCCAAGTCAACACTTGGCCACAAAAAGGAGAGTACTAGCTCTACACAAAATAAACCCTTGGCTTGATATACATGTAATACAACAAAAATAACAAAAAGAGTCCAACAGCCTCAAGCCTCTCAAGCTACATCCTTGGAGGTGGCATAACACTTGTACCTGAAAATGATGCCCCATATAGAGTGAGCCAACACCCAGTAGAGATATGCTAAACATAATATGAGCAAAAACTAAAACATTAGCATTTGATAAATGTTTAGCCCACATAAATCAATTCATAACCCAGTTCAATTTCATGACAAATATGTCCATGTTTCATTCCTCTTTCCTTTACTTAACTGATTTTCAATTCATAGATATGGCTCAGAACCTGGCCAAACAATTCCCATGAGACCACAGCTCATATCAACAATACTTCCATAATTCACAATAGATACACATATTTGTTGTATCAATAACAAATTTAAACACTTCCATATTTCACAATAGATACATATATTCATTGTATCAACACTTCAATAGATACACATATTAGCTGTATCAACGAAGTCCATCCTCTATCTCCTTCCAAATAATATTCGGTTTAGGAGTCCATCCCCTATCTCCTCCTAAACCGTGGAGTACATCCCCTATCTCCTCCCACACAACATAATGTATATAAAAACATATCATATACATGATCAATCAATATATAAATTTAATGTATTATTCCAACTGTCATATTCAATAACATATTCAACCGATTAGTTTTAATTCACCTAATCATCATGCAGTGTCTACAACAATCAAAACTATCATCCACCGATAGCCCAAAGTAATTATTTCTAAACAGATAATAATTACATCAACAGGTAAATTACCATTATTTTCAAGGGTGAGTGATTAATCAATCCAACTCCACCATTCATTCTCATAACTCCTCAATTTCATTATTTCACAATGTAAGTCATTAATTACACTAATGACCCAATAAAACCCAAATATGGCATTTTCTTCCTTTTCCCAATATTGACCCAAAGGTCCAAATATTATCATTAAACACCCATAATCTCATTTTAGGACCCAAATTCACATGTATTGGCCAAAAAAACAAACCCCTCCTTATACATTTTAAAATCCTAACACCCAAAATCCCTAACTCCAACATTACATCAAAATGACTAATAGTTTACGTCAAAGATCATAAAAATGAGTAGTTATCCCTACCTCAAAGTCGGAGCTCAAAGGAGAAGGTGAAGAATATCGAAAGTGCTCCAAATCCCAAGATTTTTTGGATTGATAGGTAGCCTAAGCCAAGCTCTACACTTCTTACAAAGACACTAAGGGGGTGGATCACTCAAACTAGATCAAACCCTAGAGAGAAGTTGAAGTTTTAGAGTAGAGTAAGGTGCTCTCCAATAGAGGTTTTGAAAAGTAAGAGAGAGAAAGAAAGTGTGAAAAGTGATTTAAAATCATCCAGCTGCCATCTAATATACGACTAGTCCGCTCGAGTGGAGAATAGGACGCTCGAGCGTCAAGCACAAAAACAGGACCCGCTCGAGCGCAATAATACCCGCTTGAGTGCCAAGAAACAACTGCAAAAAACACCTATTCGAGCGCAAAGGAAAACCCGCTCGAGCGTAGATTACCCTCTTCCAGTATTTTTACAGACATCGAACACCCACTCGAGCGTAAGGAAATCCGCTCGAGCGTGAAAAACACACTTGCAGTACTTTTTGCAAATGGACAAACTACTGAAGGTGTGCAAACTCCGCTCGAGCGCAAGAAGACCCGCTCGAGCGGATCACCAAAAACCTGGGCAACAAGAGTTGGGACAAAAGCTCAAGCAACCTATTCGAAACACGCCCATGACAATTCTAAACTCAATTACAAAGAGTTAAAGGACAGAAATGAAATATAGACAACAACTGCTATCAACGGAACCGAGTCTGGAATACAGTAAACATGAGAGGGAAAATCGGGATCGCTATACTTTATCATCACTAGCATTGGATTGAACTTATTTACTGCTTTTGCCCTTCTTTTTTTTTTTGGGACTTTCTTCTTTTGAATAGCTGTAGGTGGAACTTCAAAATCATCATCATCATCATCACCACATTTGCTTCTTGTAACAACCATTTTAAAACACTAAAAAGTTTCTCTATATCAACAGTGTAACATTTTACATTAAACAACAAAGTGACAAAACAATAAGCACTAAAGAAAATGCACAAACATTGTAATGAGATAGTAAAATTTTACTCTGATTGGAAGTAAAATTTTACTCTGAAAAATTCCGAAAGCATTGAAATTGCAGGACCAAAACACTACAGAAATCAAAGAGTAATGAGCAAAGGCTAGAGTTAAAGTAAAATTTTACTCTCATTATAAACAAGTGAATCTGAAAGTAAAACTTTGATTTTATTGAAAGTAAAATTTTACTCTGATTTGATGTAAAATTTTACTCTGATTGGAAGTAAAATATTGAAATTGCAGGACCAAAACACTACAGAAATCAAAGCGTAATGAGCAAAGGCTAGAGTTAAAGTAAAATTTTACTCTGTAATAAGTAAAATTTTACTCATTATAAACAAGTGAATCTGAAAGTAAAACTTTGATTTTATTGAAAGTAAAATTTTACTCTGATTGGATGTAAAATTTTACTCTGATTGGAAGTAAAATTTTACTCTGAAAAATTTATGAAGCAAGTGAAATTGAAAGCATTGAAATT